CCATCCATCCTTCCTTCCATCCTCCCTCCTTTCCTCCCTTACTCCCTTCCTTCCTTCTTTCTTTCCCTTCCTTCCCTCCCCTCTTGTTCCAGAGTCAGGTCTCGGCAGCAGCAGTTTGAGCAGGGAGGTCCATCCATCTTTTTCTTTAGGCATCTCTTCCAGCTCTCAGGGAGAGTCCAGCTACCCTGCAGAGAAAACTCGTTTTGACCTCTTGTATCTACGATCTCATCCTGTCACTCTGAGATTGTGACCATAGCTGAGGGTAGGAACGTAGATCGACGGGAAAACAGCGAGCTTCTTGCAGCTCAGCACCCTTCACCACAACGGACCAGCACAGAGTCCACAATACTGCAAAGTCTTCACTGATCTGTCTGTTGATCATTAAGACGATTAACTGACATATACGTCTTGATTCTGATTTCTGTGATGACGCCAACAAATCAAAAGCAGGATGACCCCGTTTTTAAGTCTGATTAAACTGTTGGTGCTTTAAACTAAAGTGAAAAAGGTTTTTCACTCTCTCTTTGCAGGAAAACAAGTGAGGACAAAACTCTCCCAAGCATTTAACCACTGGCTCAATGTTCCCGAAGACAAACTACAGGTGAGAAGTTTTCCATTTCAAGCCTCTTAACGTGTAATTTGGTCCAATATTTACCGTCTCAGTCGGATCAGAGGAGGCGAGGAGGTGCTACTCTCGTTCAAAGACCATCCGCGTTTTGTTAAAAGCGGTCGTTAAGGCGGTGGGAGCTGAAGAGGTTGGAAGCTAGTTCATTAATCATTCAGGTATTCAGACAAAAAGCTGAGAGTGAGAGCGGCTGTCGAGGGCCGGAGTCGTCGTAGCTTCGGCCCGGCTCCCGACCCCGCCAACGTTACGTTTAGTTGACGGATTTTAAATATCAGGCTTGAAGGCGAAATTCACTTTGTCAACTAAAACCATCTGATGTGAGGAGCTGCCGAGTTATTTAAACAAACGAGGGAGTTCACAACGCTGCCTTCTGCGTCCGGTCACCGGGTCGAGCCTTTTATTTATTCTCGGCCCAGAACATCGCAGGAAACATTTATTACACTTGACTGAAAGGGACAGGGTCCAAATTATTATTATTATTATTATTATTATTATTATTATTATTAGGGACTAACTAGTTCTTAATGTGCCAAACTCACTGAAGGTATCTGTTTTATAATTAAATCAGTTTAAAAATCGGCGTGTTTGAGGTTAAGGTTAAGATTTGATGCAAATGTAGCTGCTCGTAAATCAAAAGGTTCAGCTCATTCACAAGCGTACTCTGACTTTTGGTATTATTTATTTATTTTTTAACAACTTTGTTCACAGATATTTTCCTCATACAAATACGCTGAGGTTCCTTCAGAAACTTTATTATATTTGAAATCTAATTTAATCTCGCTGCTTGTTTCTTCTTATGCTGCTTTTCGCTTCTGTTTTTCTAATTTTATGCTGCTTTGTGCTATTTTTAGCTTTTAGTCAACCTTTCGCAATTTTTAGCTGTTTTTCTACTTTTAGTGTTTGGCTCCCTTTAGCTGGTATTCTGCTTCATTTGGCTAGTGCCATCCTAACACTTGGACCAGCTAAACAGCAGCTAAATCTAAAATTATTAGAACAATCACTTCAACCAGCAAATCAGTTGCTAAAAGCTAAGACTAGCAAAACGTTTGCTAAAAGCTAAAATTGGCAAAAGAGCACCTATAGCATAATGTTTTCAAAACAATAGCTAGAAGCTAAGACTAGCAAAATATTTGTTAAAAGCTAAGACTATCAAATCAGTTGCTAAAACTTAAGACTAGCAAAACAGTTGCTAAAAGCTAAGTGTCAAAACAGTAGCTAGAAGCTAAGACTAGAAAAACAGTTGTTAAAAGCTAAGAGTGGCAAAACAGTAGCTAAAAGCCACTTAAACAAAACAACCAGTCTAAAAACCAGCAAAATGTCAGCTGATGTAAAACTAGTCAAACAACTAAAAACTGAAATTGTAATCTTTAGCAAATGTGCTTCACAGGGCACAAAATCACAAAAAGTATTTGAAGTTATGTATATATATATATATAATTCTTTATAATAAGAAAAAAGTTAAATATTTCAAAAAGTATAAAAGTAAAAAAAGCCAAAAGTCATAGCTGAACGAGCCGAACATTTTGGTGGACGAATGGTTGAAAGAGCTCAAAGTTGAAACAAAACTGAAAACTACCTGAAAACCTGTAACATTCCTCGAGTTGTAGCTAAGGTCACTTAGCGCCGGCGGCCATCTTGAATTGGACAGACTCTAAATGTTAATCAGATATAATTTTACACAAAACAATTACTTACAAATTTTCTTGAAATCTCATCCAGCAGTTCATGAAATATTTTCCTTACACAACAAACACAGATGGGTAAAAACATGATCGCCCTCGGTGGCGGGTGATAAGAAGCTCCTCTGCTCCAGAACCTGAACTTTAACCTCCGAGGAAAAGTTTTGTTTGGATCATTGACTCGACTCTCCCCAGCTTTGGCCGTCTGCCCGACCCACTGAGTCCATCTTTGTGTTCCTGGGCCCACAAACAGCTTTCAGTACTGGGCCGCGCTACGTGTCCAGAACCAGCCTGCAGCAGGATCCACAGCCAGTTCTGGACCAGTTCTGCTCTGACAGACGTGGGCCGGACGCGACGATGCTTTGTTTACAAGTCTGAACTTTCTGCTGCTTTCTGACTCCAGCTTTAATTTATCTGTGGAGGGAAATTCATCTGGTGAATATTTATAACAACATATTTTTAAATGGTTCAAGTTAGAAACTGTTCTTCCACACATCCACACGTCGGGGGCTGCGGGTCTTTTGGGTCCAAGCTCCTAACAGACTTCTGGAAACAACTTTGAACCAGCTGTGGAGCATTGAAGGTAAAACTGCAGACGTGGCGCCCCCTGCTGTAAACAAGCTGCAGTGCAAGGCTGAGAAATCTTTGTAAACAATGTTTTGTTGTTGTTGTTGTTGTTTTGCCGGTTTATGTGCGTTCATATAAATATCTCATATGGGGAGTGGTGGTGCAGCGGTTAGAGAAGGTGGGCCTGTGATCGGAATCGTAAGGTCGTCTGTTTGACTCCCCTAACCAACATCAAAATGTGGGTGGAAAAGGTGAAACAGCCACACCTGCCTTCACTCTTTGCCCCACTCTGGGCCCTTGAGCAAGGCCCTTAACCCCCACCATCTGCTCCCAAACAGGTCTCTCAAAATGAGTCCTCGTGACTCAGTGAGACTACCTGTATAAATAAAGGTTAAATAAACCACTAGACAAATTTATTGGAAATCACTGGGCGCAGCTGATAAAACATCTGGAGTCAACTTGTTCGTCCATCCTTTATATTTTGCCTGCTTTTTCCTGTCTGGGTTGCAGGGGACACCCTGGACAGGTTTCCAGTCCATCGCAGGGACACATGGAGACAAATGGGACAACCATTCACTCTCACTCACACCTAGAGACAAATTAGTTACCTCATTAGACGTGCTAGCTA